TAAATATAAATAAAAGGGTTTTCTTGTAATTTACCATATGTTAATAGTATTATCTTTTTATCCTATATTGAAAATATTCCGTTATAGAATCCACGATAACCTATGTCTTTAAACTAGTGGAGAATAATAAAAACTCCACCTTCCGTTTTGCGCATCAGATTCCCCTTTTATTATCAGCCGTCCGATCAAACACAGAGTCGTATAGTAAAACCCCTAGACCTGGATTAGGGTTTCCTCAGCTTTTAAAAACCCTAGAAAAAGATCTCGATCTCCTTCTCCTTCGATCGATCCGGTGACTGTCTCTGATCGAGATCATGGGGAGGGGAAAGTTCAAGGGCAAGCCAACGGGACGCAGGCTCTTCTCCACTCCTGAAGAGATGGGTAAAATCTAGGGTTTTGGTTTCAGATTTCAGTTCCTTGCTTTGATTTCTTTCATCGATCTGATCGTGTCGAATTTGCTTTAAATATTAATCTATTATTTGATTTGGAGTTTCACAGTCTTCAATTTTACAAGAGTTTTGTATATATATTTGAAAAATAAAAAGGCATTAGGTCCTCAATTTTATGAGCGTTGCGAAGTAAATTTGTTTGTAGAATTGTATTGATATACATAATATTCATGTTTGTATTTTGATGTAGTAATATGAATTTGGCGAAATATGTTAATTTCCCCTTTGGTGTACAAGCATTTAGTTAGGTCTAGTTTCCTTGTATGGATACTATTGTACAATATTCTCGCTGAAAAGAAATCGATGGCCTTTTTCGTAGTCATTATTTTTGCGTTGCTTCTGTTGTTAGCATGCAGAAAGTTGTATCTTTTTTAGTGCACTCTGTTGGTTTATTATCATCCTTGTATATGGAATACATATTTATGTACCATATTGCATGATAGATCTTGTGGCTCTTCGCGTTGTCCGTATCTCCTTTGGTAAATTAATCCCTCTGCAAAAGTATGCAGTGTTATGCATAAATTCTCATGATCTTCTTAAGTAGTATTGCCATGATTCATAGTTCCATGGACTACAAACATTAGGGCCTGTTTGGATTTGCCGCTAGTGGAGAGAAGTTGAGTAAACATGGGATAAATTAAGGGAATACAAAACTTGTTTGGGAAAATTTAGTAAGGAAACCAAGGGGAGCTTATTTCACCCCGTTTGGAAAGTTTAATAAAGTGAAGGGGAAGTAAGGAAATATATGTAGATTTACATATCTAACATTACATGTTATTTCACTCCTTTGGATCTCATCTTGATACAAGAGTAAAATTGTCTTTGTATAATATTCTCTTTTTTTTTTAAGAGTCCCTTGCCTTCCATTACACCCCAAGTTGGAGGGAACAAAATCTCAAGTTCCCACCCCCCCCCCCCAAAAAAAAAAAAAAAAAAAGGAGAAAAATCTACCTCAAATGAATTCAAAAACATGGTTAATATGTCCTCTACCTTCCCTTACCTCATATTAACCCAAACACAAACAGACGCTTATTTATGCGTTGAAGTTGCAACATTTCAGTTATTCAGAAGTGAAATAAATAACTTTCTTCTTGTCATTGAATTCTCTGAGCTTCTAACTTTTATGAACACTCGTGAAAATTTTTGCAGCCACTGGTACCTCAACTCGTCCTCGCACCTTTAAGAAGGTATATTCAAATTTTGTTGCATAAGAAGATAGTTCGACTCTTTTGTATGATTTTACTATTACTAAGTAAAACCTGTAATCTTAATGTCCATTTTCCTGTCTGGAAACAAGAATATTACAATGCTATATTATTTTATTTTTTAACTTTTGTCATATTTTGTATTGTTATCCATTTACGTGAAATCCTTGTAAGACTTTGCACTACTTGTTACCACATAATTACATTTGAACAATGAAAAAGCCGGACTTTTGTTATCATTTTGTAATCGGTATGTACATGCATATTGTGATCGTTATATTGAGGAATAAGTAATAGGAAATATATAAATTTGAAAATTTTCAAAAGGCTAGTGAAAAAATAGGGAATCACACCTCGCTGGGATAACACGATGCAAAAGAGAATCACGATGTCACAGATGTAAGACAGCAAACCTCATTCTTGATATTCGTGCATTTTCATCTTTTAGTATGATAGTAATATTATTAGTATATCTTTAACTTTTTCAAATGTCTCAAACAGGAGGAAGTTGAAGACAGAGAAGAAGAGGAATCAGAAGAGGAATCCGCGGAGGAGTCCGAAGAAGAGAATGAGGTAATGGTTACCCTTTCTGCAGTATCTCGTATTTATCTGTGGATAAGATCTACTTCATGTGCTTTTTATTGTTAGTGATAGTTTAAATTGCATGTTATATCTCATACTGTATCGTGATAAGTTTTTAAAACTATTCAATTTCCTTACAGAAAAGGAAAGGCACTGAGGGCCTCATTGAGATTGAGAATCCAAACTTGGTGAAACCAAAGAGTGTAAAAGCTAAAGATGCTAATGTAAGTCTTCAATGTGTTTCCTTCTAATTCTTGTTTTATATAGAAAGTGTTCTTTTACAACCATCATCAGATGTATTAGGTGTAATTGTTTTTTGGTTGATCGGTTGATGTGGTTTGTGCATACCGCCCAGACTCCCGAGGTGTATAAGACGATAGGTTACATACTTTTTCCTTTAATTGCTGAGGTACAAAAAGAAGTTTCTGTTTGACATTATTCTATTATTAGATAGCACATACTGTGCACCAGTACGTGGAAGCTGTTGCTTTTTAGACGAATGACTAGGATGTTCTGTGACTTCTGTCTACATCAGTAATTTCTGGTTGCCATCGTCCTGTTTATAGAAGTCATTATACTTTTATCTGTTTTCATTCTAATATTGTTGCTGAATGCTTAAATTCTCGCGTATGCATATTTGAAATGTAGTGGAAAGCATTCTCAGTGGCGCTCTGAGATTCTCCTGTTTTGACCACCTTCATTTTCCGTGGCCAAATTCACTTACTTGAAAACTTCACTGCTCCCGACTCAGTTTTCTTTCTCCATCTGCACCAAATTCTGGTGCTTAATCATGTTGAATATATTGATCTTATGTTCCCAGTTATCATGAACACCTCTGACCATCTATAGTGATAGAGTGCGCTCAGGCTCCTCCACAGCCCGTTCATCCACTCCAAATTCATATGATCAGGTCACTGCCAGAAGCTGGAAAGAGTCTAGGAAAGGTGACATTGTAGGCGTACGTGTCTGATAAATACCTAACAGCAAATAAATTACATAGAATATTGCTTTTGGAACGGAAGGTGGACGATGATTAACAGAAACTACCTAATGATCATTTGATCATAGCTAGCTGGTCAACTTCAAAAAAATCAATTGTGGTGTCTTGAGAAGATGTAATTTTGACATTTGAGTTCCACTTCTATCCATTTTCTCAAGTTGAAATGGTTATCTATGCCTCACTTATTCTTATAAATCACTATTCATCAGATAAGGAAACTGCTGGTGTAGTGCTTTTAGTGGAATTTTTGTTGAGCACACAAGTGCCACACACAAGAAGAGAGAGCAAGCAACAAAATAACACAAAAATAACACAAAAATAACAAAAAAACTTCTTACAGATGGTTTCAGGCAGGCAAGCTTACCTCCACTTTCACAAACTTCAAAACTAGTACAAGTTTTGCATGATTCAAATTTTTAAATCCTCACTTACCTGATACCACAGGAACCTGAGTATACCCTCACTCAAGAGCCCAAAGATTTTTATACTCCTCAACACTTACACACCTGTTTTATAACCTCCAAAGAGAAGTTGAAGAAGCTAAACATTAATGCCTCATTTCATCTTCCTATGCATTAGATCTTCAAGCTTCCGTCCTTTGCATACTCTAATGTTGAGTAGCCTTTCAATCTTCCATAGTCAACACCTGCATTCTTTCTCATTGATGAGATCTGGGGAAAATTCTACTGTTTTGCCCTTCCGGGATCAATGTTAGTTCTTTGAGTTTCACAGATGAAACCTTCAAATGAGATTAAGATTGACTTTTGCTAGTCATAGTCACCATTCCCAACATTGGAGCAACACGAATGTCATAAATATCATTCCCTCTGTGAATTTTGGGCATCATTCTTTTGGTGTATATATGTATGTGTACAAGCAAGTTAATTTAGATTTTATGAGTTTGCTATACTATATTTGTGCAAGCAAGTTAATGTGTATTTCATGAGTTTTCTATACCATATGTTATGTGTGCAAGCAAGTTAATGTACATTTTATGAGTTTGCTATACCATGTGGTGTATATTTGAGCCTGCCGTGAATAGCCTGTTGCCAGTCTAGGGCTCTGAAGGTTGCCTAACCATTTTTTTGTGACTATCTATTTACATGAAGTCAATTCCCTATATGTTACTTGGGATTTGTGGTTATATATTCTGTGGGAACAAATGTGACTTTTAAGTGCTTGTCAAATTTATGCACATGTGATTTGTTACATGGTCTGAGACCTATGCAACTATGGTTTACTTCCTTACTTTTCTTTTTATGTTTGTTTTAAAGCACATACTTACGTAACATAGATTGTTTTATATTCCGCAGTTTGAGAAAACAACTGAGCTTTCGAGGCGTGAAAGGTATGTTGATCACCTATGTGCTTTCAAATGGCTTCCTTTCTTTAATCCTGTATTTGACAAGTGTAAATAAACCATTTCAAGTCACTTTCTTTCTTAAATCTCCTATTTGTTTATAAGTTATTCATGAATTTTATGTTATTGAGAGACATTGTCGGGCATACTTATTGTCCTTGTTGCCCTATTAGTAGAAATCTTGAGCACTACTCAAGTCTGTGTTTTCCAATTTAATTAGTTTTCTATGATGCTATTATACAGGCCTCAGCTACAATTCTGTATTCAAAGACACACCCGTCAATCTCAATCCAATAAATTCTATTTTAAAAATTAAATTTATTGGTTTTCTCTTGATTTTTGTTAGAAGGATATCACTCTCACCGTTTCCCCTGCACTGTGTCATGCCAAAGGAATCTTTCGTCAAATGCTCATGAGTTTTGCTGATAAAATTCTGCTTTAGTTATTTTGGTTAATGATTCATTGTCTTTAAGTTCTGCTATGCGGTTGTTTCCTTGATCATTATTGTTTGATGTCATTTCTGTTATGCTCAGCAGCTCAGTAGTTGGGTCATTTTCCCTGTAGCGCATGAATGTAGCTCGTGTATATTCATCATTCCTACAATCATTTCTTGTAGGGAGGAGATAGAGAAACAAAGGGCGCATGAACGATACATGAGGTTGCAAGAGCAAGGAAAAACAGAACAGGCCAGGAAAGATCTAGGTAACACGAAGTTTATAATTTTCTTGTCTTTAATACATCGTAGTGTGTTATGGCTAAATGGAATAGCTTTTAATTTTAACGGTTTTGAATGAATAAAACTTTTCACATGGCTCGATGGAGGGTCAAACGACGACGGATTCATCCCAAACTTGGTATGTTAGGGTTTTAGAATATGTAGATCAAGTCCAACGGAGCGGATCATCCATAATGTCGCTCAATCATGTGATTTTAGAGACGTCAAGGAGGAAATCCCCTCCTATGACAAGGATACTCATTAATCTCATATATATATATATATATATATATTATATATATATATAGAGATGAGCTTGTGTCAACTTAAGTAATAGGAGGCATTGTCCACCAAACTTTTTATCCACCCATTTGTCTTAGATTTGTGCCATCAAGAGATGCACAAATCTCAAAAGGCAACATCAATGGATAAAAAATTGGTGGATGATAGCTCCTATCCACTTAAGTTTACATAAGTTTTCTATATATATATCAGAAAAATAGAGAAGAGCTGGCAGCTCTTCTCCCCCGTGAGCTGATAGGTCCATGACATGTGGCCCCTACTAGTCACATTGGTGTGGGGGCTCACATGTCATACACTTGACGACTCACGGGGAAGAGAGCTGCCATATATATATATATATATATATATATATATATATATATATATATATATATATATATATATATATATATATATATATATGAGATTAATGAGTATCCTTGTCATAGGAGGAGATTTCCCTCCTTGTCGTCTATGTGGCACAATCCTCATAAAATAGCACAAATCCCCACAAACTCACACACTCTCTCCTACTTTATGAGGATGGTGGGTGATTGTGCCACATAGGCGTCAAGGAGGAAATTCCCTCCATGATAAGGATACCCATTAATATATATATATATATATATATATATATATATATATATATATATATAATATATATATATATATATATATATATAGAGAGAGAGAGAGAGGAGAGAGAGAGAGAAAAAATGGAGAAAACTTGTAATCAATTGCTACAGTTGGTAGTGATGTGGCATAATCTTGTCCCTATATCTACATTGGAGTTGGTGAAGGGTGATTGTGGCTCTATCTTCAAGATGTGATGTAGGAGCAAGATTATGCCACATCACTACCAAGTTGCTTTAAGCAACTTGGTACCAAGGTTCTCCATTTCTCTCATATATATATATATCATATCATACTTCTTTTAAAAGTACGAGTTTGAAAAAATCTTTTCATGGTCAATATTACTCTTTAACTTTTTTTTTAAATATTAAATTGTTATCATATTCTATTCTAATTATCCTATCTTCTTTGAATTGGCAATTAAATATTTTATCATATTCATAATAAGACTTAACATGTTATTAGATAAATGAAATACGTTTGATATAATTCAAATCTTTTACTTATTTCAGTTCGTAGAGAACTACAAATATCCCCTATATAATTTAATTTATAGAAAAACATCTAAAGTTTCAAAACTTACAAAAGAACACTCAAAATTCAAAATTTATAAAAAACACCCTGAGAATTTCTAACCCATTAGTAAATTAAAAACATAAGAATTATAAATAGTCTATAAATAATTTATAATCTATAGAAAAATCCTATAACTTTAAAAATGTTGCAAAAAACCCCTAAAATTCATAATTTATAAAAAACACCATTAGAATTTCTAACTTATATACACTAAAATGAATATACAAAAGTATTAATAACCCCCAGAAAATTAAAAATTTGCAAAAAAAATATCATACTCCCTTTAAAAGTATAGGTTTAGGAAAAAATTTCATGGTCAATATTACCTATAATTTTTTTGAAAAGAACATAACTAATTGAAAGTCTATTAAATTTAAAATTTACAAAAAACCCTTAAAGTTTAGTACATTACAAATTACTCCTCTAAAGTTTAAAATTTTCAATGATTTTTTGTAATTTCTTGATTTCAAGGTAATGTTTAATAGTTTTGTGTATTTGTAAATTATAAAATTTAGGCTGTTTTTTATAATTTTTAAAACTTTTGAGGGTATTTCTTTTGCAGTTTTCCAAATTTTCATTATGTTTTCAATGTAATGCATAGATACGTCAATTAATGATGATATTAATGAGTAAGTCGTTCTTAAAATGTATTACGCCATAGTTAAATGTGCGCATCACTATTCCTAGACAGTATAGTTTATAAATGCAAAAAATTTCAGACAATTTATATAGCGGCTAAAAGGAATTTGACTTTAATGTACTATTTTTTATAAATTATATTTAATGTGAATCTAACATATAATTTTAATACGTTTGATTGATTGACTATATAGGTATATAGCCCATAGATTTCTTTACTTTCTCACATGAACTAATATTTGGCGGTTAGTAATTTAAATTATTACTTTTAAATTTAATATAAAGCGGAGCTCTAATAACATTTATTTATTTACCTAAAGGACAATACAATCTCAATACCTTTTTTTGCATGAGATTTGTTCCATACGCGTATCAAATTAGTAACTAAAATAATAATTATTTATGTTTAAATTAGGATGATTGTAGTTGGTCACTCATTATAGAATTTTCATGAATACATATACCTTACTTTCTATAGCTATTTGCATTGTCCATGTATATTTTATAAATTAGCTGTTAATTTGATATATTAAATTACTTTTTCTTTGTATAAATTTCTTTTTTGACTTTTGGATTGTGTAATCACTATATCATCATTCTAGCGTAGAAAGGACCTCACTCTAAATGGCTTCAAACAAATATTTGAGTTGAACTGAAGTATATACTATTGCTACCATGTGTATATATTTTTTAAGAAAACTATATCAATATTTTTAAACAAAAAAGAATATTCTAACATCTGATATTATAAAAACTAAATATAAGCAATTGAGTGATTAGCAAAAGAGAACTTACTTCAGAAAAGCATGAATAATAAGATAAAGAGGAAAGATAATGGTATTACCAACAATACTACTAATAGCAAGCTATAATGTAAAGTTAACCTATTTTGTGGAGTCTAACTATTGGCTATAAACATTGAGGTTTCCATATATATAATTTATAATTTATTAAAAATGGTCATATAATCTTATATAATAAAATTAATTTAATATTAAATAGTAATATCATTGTAATAATATTATTATTAGGAAAAATTCTTTGTGGACCAGTATGTTCTTTATGATATATAAGCTATACACTCCAAATTCTTATGTTTTTTATAGAGTCAAAAAGTTTGAATACAAGGCTTTACATTTTGCTCTCACAAGAGCAAAATCTCTTTAGCAGATGTGGATATTCCTTATAAGTTATATGTTCTATGTATAATACAATTGTCCTAGGCAAGTGAGTTATAATAGCATTTTTCATTCACATTGTTTGGGACAAAATTTGATAGAGACCTTGCATCAAAGAAAAAAGAAATTTTTATATTCTATATCATAATCTCCCTGCTCTAATTTCGTAAGAAAATAATTCTTTATACTTTCAATTTTACTTCTATAATAAGGAGAATGAGTTATAAAATTGAACGAGAATATTAGATAATATAAATATGAGTGATATCACAACTGAAAGTTAATATAATTATAAGCTAAACTATAACTAAAAGTTTAATGGACATATTACAAATAAATTGACATGCAAAATTCCTTTACGAATTGAATGATCACCCATTTTTTGAAGATTTCAATATACTAATAAATGGAGATGTTGTATTAGATCAATGTGTTTATAACTCATAAATAGTAGATCACGTGGCCACAGTCTGAGTTGAAGGAAACAATGATATTATTTCATTTGAGAGAGAGATTATTGAGTTGATAATCAATCCCACAAAAAACTTTATTTTTTTTATTTTTATTCAATTTTTATCAATTTAAATAATCATCATATTCAACCATTGTACGTGCATCTCAACTAGTATATATATAGTTGATCTTATGTCAATTTAAGTGGACACCAAGCCTTTGTCCACCAAAGTTTCTATCCACTCATTTATATATATAAAAAGACTCTTCATATCATACAAGGATCCCTAGGCAACATGAGTGGATAGAAACTTTGGTGGATCATCCACACTTAAGTTGACGTAAGAATTGCTCTCTCTCTCTCTCTCTCTCTATATATATATATAAACTAAAAGTTTAATGGACATATTACAAATAAATTGACATGCAAAATTCCTTTACGAATTGAATGATCACCCATTTTTTGAAGATTTCAATATACTAATAAATGGAGATGTTGTATTAGATCAATGTGTTTATAACTCATAAATAGTAGATCACGTGGCCACAGTCTGAGTTGAAGGAAACAATGATATTATTTCATTTGAGAGAGAGATTATTGAGTTGATAATCAATCCCACAAAAAACTTTATTTTTTTTATTTTTATTCAATTTTTATCAATTTAAATAATCATCATATTCAACCATTGTACGTGCATCTCAACTAGTATATATATAGTTGATCTTATGTCAATTTAAGTGGACACCAAGCCTTTGTCCACCAAAGTTTCTATCCACTCATTTATATATATAAAAAGACTCTTCATATCATACAAGGATCCCTAGGCAACATGAGTGGATAGAAACTTTGGTGGATCATCCACACTTAAGTTGATATATATATATATATATATATAAATATGGTTACTCAAATAGGGAGCTTAAATAATGAAGTGACCACCTTAAAGAAGATTTGCTTTAACATGACAAAGAGGCAACTTCATTCATTAACCCGTCTATTGTTTTGGAAGGCTGGTCATTTTCACAGAGTTATTTTCATAATAAATCGCATAATCCAGTTTATTTATTTTTATGGGTAGAAGTGTTGGCGCATGGTTATTGTTCAGTAAATCAACTTAGGTTCATAATCAATTGGAAGAAAAAAAAGTGAATTCTGCATTCACTGGAAATCAGCACTTCTTGTTTTCTATCTACATTGCATAATGAACGTCTCGATGTCATTTTCAGAACGCCTAGCCTTGGTCCGGCAACAACGAGCAGAGGCTGCGAAGAAACGAGAAGAGGAAAAGGCTGGTATGCTATCTATTTCCCATTGCTCTCTTACCTTAGCGCACTTTTACGGATGTGCCATATTATTTCTATCTATATAACCTTGTATTTTTCTAGCCTTTCCATTTGAAAATTTATGCCTCTGATGCCTCCTATTGTTTTTTCTCCCAATTACCATTGAACCAACTGTTTTAGTTTCAGCGTAAATGAAAAAACTCTCTGAACTTTTAAGAGTTTTTAATGCATAAAACCCCCTAAACTTTATAAATTAGTGAAAAAACCCATGAACCTTCAAAATTATTCAAAAATTATGTGAACAGTTGGAAATTGTTAGCGTGAAGGGGGCAAAATGGCCAGATTGGTATATTTTGTAGATGCTTGGTGACATATTGGTATATTTTTTTAGATTGGTATATTTGTCAGATTGGTATATTTTGTCGACTCCGGCGCCAAATACATCTTAAATTTGGCCGGAGTTACTGTTCCGACCAGTGCTGACGGGATTTCTTACATAAAACCCCTTCATTAAAACCCATTGTGCTCCTAACCCCCCCTTCTCCACCCCCTCTCCGTCCTCCTCATCCTCTTCAACCTCCCCCTCTCCCTCATTCTCATCATCCTCTTCCTCCACCTCATCCTCTTTAACCTCCCACTCTCCCTCCTCCTACTAAATTCATCCACAGCTGCTAGTAGTTCAGCTAGCTTCTTGTTTGAGAAAATATTATCAGCCTTCATCCTTTCCCTAAACCCATACGTTGGAATCCTTGCATTCAAGTAGGCTTCAAGCAACAACTCATGTAATTTCATCATATTTCTGAACCCAGCTTGCCTTCATCCATTCTCTTTCATGCGCTTAACCAAATCTTCCCCCTCAAATAGAAGTTTATTTTTAGCATATATCCTTAGAAGAGCATCATAGATTTTTTATGAAACTTTATTTCCCAACTTCAATGTTTTCTTAAATACTTCCTCAGCCTTATCTACACAACCACGACGACGTTTAGCCTCACATACTTTCCAAACCCTCTCAACATCAGAAGCTTTGTCAAGAGAAGCATATAGAGGGAGAACAAACTTGCAAGCCATAGATTGAATCATTAGATCAGGCCACATTCCCTCAGCTTTCATCTTCTCCACAATCTGTTCGATGCTATGATGATGATCATGATGACGAGGTTTTGTTGAAGAGGATGAGGAGGAAGAGGATGATGATGATGAGGGAGAGGGGGAGGTTGAAGAGGATGAGGAGGAGGAGGGAGAGGGGGAGGAGGAGGAGGAGGTTAGGAGCATGATGAAGTTTTAATGAGGGGGTTTTATGCAAGAAATCCCGTCAGCACTGGTCGGAACAGTAACTCCGACCAAATTTAAGGTGTATTTGGCGCCGGAGTCGACAAAATATACCAATCTGACAAAACTAAAAAAAATATACCAACATGTCACCAAAGCCTCTACAAAATATACCAATCTGACCATTTTGCCGTGTGAAGGGTAAAAGGTCTGAACTCCCATATTCAAACAAACTCTGCATAAACCTAAACATAGGTCCTAAACATAGGTGACGGCAAATTTTCCAAAGAAGAATTTTTTGATTTAAACTCATTCCACCTTTTTATTTTACAAACCGACCGACTTTTTTTTTATTTAGCGGAATCGACCCACTTCTCGGCCACGTCAGCAACGTGGCCGAGAAGCGGGTCGATTCCGCTAAATAAAAAGGGAGTCGGTCGATTTCGGTAAAAAAAAGTTGAAATGGGTTTAAAACAAAAATTTGTTCATTTTCCAAAACTTGACAATTTTAAACTAAATTGCCGCAGTCGTCGTATTTTGAAGATTTGAACTTAATTGCCATCAGTCGTCATAATTCCAATCCTGATTAACTCCATACGATTCACATATTTTTCCCGGAGTAGCTATTATCAACACCTCATCTCGATTACATTCCCATATTTGTGATAAACTTTTCAAAAAAATTTGGTATTGTTTTGTAAATTAATCTAGCTTTTCTCTTGATATGACAGCAAAGGAGACGAAGAAAGCAGAAGCCCGCAAGTGATAATGCTGTTGTTGCATGAAGAATATTTATTTTACAGAAGAAATTATGTAACTTTCGCCTCTTAGTCAAACATGCGTTGATGAGCATGCTTGGACTCCACTTTTCATAATTTGGGCAAATTGTGTTACTTCGTTCTATTATTTATTGACATTAGGTTTACTACAATTCTTAGTAATATTACTATTTTAGTTGGTGAATGAATGGGAAATAGTCTTGTGATTTATTGAGAAGCAACGTAGAGTATGGTTTAAACTTGAAGGCTAAGATTGGCTACTAAAAGCTCATTAGCTTAATCAATAAACTCTGGAGCTTTTAAAAATCGTGTAAGTGGTTTTACTCGATGAAGTACAGACGTGTTAATTAAAATTTTGTGATATATTTTTTTTACTCCTCTTCTGACTTATCTATGTGACTTCTCTATGTTACGAATTACATACATAACAAATGTTTTATTATATATGAATATCCACTTTCTGAAATTTGTCACCGTTTATTACAGACGTAATTTCCCTAAACGATTGTTGAGAGAATCATTTGCTAAAAATAATTCGATCATGTGATTGATATGTAATTAGCTAAAAACATGCATCCCTGTACGAGAAATTGCAAAAAGCAAGACAACAATATACAACTTCTTGGGACATTTGTGAGTAAAATGACTTCATCTAGCTAATTGTACTTTCCTCGCAAACATTGATTTCTTGATGATGCAGTAGATTATTCTAAAACTTAATGAGATAAGAAATTGATTTCATGTTTTAATTTCTTTTTCTTTTTTGGTTTGATGAGAGAACTTCTTCACCATCATCATTCGGACCATGGGTATTAAACCCCGTGGCTAGGAGATACCCAACGCACGGTATCAGATATTCTAGTAAATTAAATTCTTGGCTAAGAGGCATCCCAACACACGGTATCGGATATTCTAGTAAATTAAATTCTTGGGGGTGCTTATCAGAAGAGTCTCACCTGAGAAATTTGAGTGCTACTGATAGGTGCCCTTATTCGAAGACAATTACATTGATAGCTATTTATAAACATCAATTAAGAAAGGGAAAATTTAGGGCTTGTTTGGATTGAGGGGAATGAGGGTGAAGGGAAGTTAGGGGAACCATTCACCTCCATTCACCTTGTTTAGGAACACTTAGGAGGTGAAGTTAATTCACCTCCATTCACCTTGGTTCACCCCCTAATAGTATAAAAATTGTTACCCCCCAAATTGGGGTGTAACCAAGGGGAAGGGAATTCTCTTCCCTTCCCTTCCTTTCCCTTCCCTTCCCTTCACTCAGTTTCCCTTAACTTCCCTTCACCCCCTACGAATCCAAACAGACCCTTAATCTTTATCATGTTAAGGGCGCGTTTGGTTCACATTTTTTCAGCCCGAAAGCCGACACAAATGTCTATTCTGTGTCAGATTTCGGGCAAAAACGCCTCTTTTAGAGGTGTCTTTGCTCGAAATACACAGATGGGACACATCTGTGTCAGATTTCAAGCACAAAAATTGAAACCAAACGCGCCCTAACTGGGCTGGGCATGAGTGCAGAAACATGGGCTGGCCCACCTTGCCCATTCCAGAACTAATTCGCAACCGTCCATCTCGGCACGTGCCGACCATCTGAGATGGGCCCATCTCAAATTTCGGGCGTGCGAGCGTTATCCAATGAGATAATTGTCTGAGTTTACTTAAATTAATATCTCTCTCGTTTCTCCTTCATTTATAATTACTGCTTAATTGAATATAATCGCCTCCTCCTAATTCCTCTTTCGTTTCTCAAGAAAGAATTCGAAATCCCAGCGAATTCTGCTGTGAGTTCGTGATTCCTTCTCTCTTTATCGGAATTTCCCGATTTTTTAAAACTAATTTTGCTTTTCCGTGAATGCGATAGAATCGTGCCACGTGGAATCTTTGTTCTTTAGCTCATTCCTGATTTTTTTTTTAATTTTAATTTGTTTAGGATCGAGAAGCTGAAGTTTTGGGGGGGGCGTTGGGTGATCGTAGGTAAATTTTATTTTATTGTATCGTTTCTTTTTCTGCGTTTATTTTGTGTTTCTGGCACAATTCCTGCACTTTAATTGAATAAATTTGTGGGGGAAATGGGTGGAATTCTTGAGAGGGGAACATTTTTCTTTAGAAAAATTTGTTTTCTTGATAATGTGAGTTGGTTTTATACTGAAATTGCTCAGGGAAATTCAATGTATGTGGAGAAATTCAAATGCATGTGAACTGTTTGTTAGTATAATTTGCGAATTGACAATAATTGGGTTTTCGAGACCAAAAAGACATTAAATAGATGAACGTGAGTGAGAATAGATGTGTATTTTTTTTAAATGTTTCTTGTACATTTTTTCCCCGTAATTCGGAATGGTTTTTATGCTGAAATAACTTGAGGGAAGTCCAATGCATCTTCATCATAACCACAGTTTAGAGTAAGTCTCTTAAAGGGAAGGGTGATGATCGAACCGAGAGATGATCATAGTTTCTTTAGGTAAATTTATTTGCTATCACTTTTCTAGGTACATCTTTCAGCATTGTTTAGAATGGTGTCGAATAATGTCTCGGGGTGGCAAGAAGTGAACAAATCTCGAGCAATTTGCATATTCTTAGTCAAGAATTGAATTTAAGTGAATATGTAATTTCAAGTATTATTCTTAGTCAAGAATTGAATTCAATCAAGAATCTGATTTGCACGAAGATGTTGGAGAATGATGACCAGACACAGTATGAGTGAGATAAATTTAGGAGAGATCTGAGAGCAAACAGGTTCTAAAATCATAATATCAGCTTGTATAAGGAGACAAATGAAGGAGAAGTCTGAGAGTAAACAGGTTCTAATTAAACATAGAAAGCATAATAGATGCCCTTCATATTCTTCTAAAGAGACTGATGAGCAATATAAGAAAAAGAAATCTTGATTTCATCTAGTCATGCCTCGTTCATTTAGCTTAATCCGAAGAAACAGTTGTAAGACTCTAGACATTGGTAACTCTTGCTTTTTTTGTTTGTGTTAGTCTGTGATATTCGTTGATGGGCCCATAACCCAGCAGCTTAATCTTTTCCCATGTAGAATTTAACCATTGATGTCATATTTGTCTGTGTTATTGTGTTATTGTGTAATATTCATAAATCATTCGTCGTAATCTATCACCTTAGCTTTTTGGATTCCATGGTTATCTGGTGGTTACCTAGTAGTTTAATTCCTACCAAGGCATTTTTTTGCTGTTTATAAAAGGTTTTGAAAAAAGAAAAGAAAAGAAAAATCTCTGAAAGCACTCGTTACCATCTTCTGGTTCTAGGTCTGTTTAAACTTCAGTTTCAAACCTCTCTTATTTTCTGGTTTTCCTAACCCCAGTTTGTTTACATTTGTTGACAGCAAAGACTGCATTTTTGTGATTCAAGACTGAGATATCACCCAGTGACTATATAACTCTCCAGAAAAAATTAAAATCTCCAGCAGTTATCATGGGCCAGAACAATATTCCATGCATTCATCAAATGCTTTATCCCCACTTGCGTGTCTGTCACTATTGTGCTGATCCCCGCATTCTTCCAGGAGTATTCCAAAGCAATACTCCATGCATTCATCGAACGCTTTATCCCAACTTGCGTGCCTGTCGCTATTGCGCTGATCCCCGCATTCTTCTAGGAGCCTGCCAGAACAATACTCCGTGCATCCATCAAATGCTTTATCCCCACTTGCGTGTCTGTCACTATTGCACTGATCCCCGCATTCTTCCAAGAGCCTTCCAGAACAATATTCCATGCATTCATCAAATGCTTTATCCCCACTTGCATGTCTGTCAATACTGCGCTAATCCCCACATTCTTCTAGGGGTCAGCCAGAGCAATACTCCATGCATTCATCAAATGCTTTATCCCCACTTGCGTCTCTGTCACTATTGCGCTGATCCCCGCATTCTTCCAGGAGAAAATGCTTTCGGAAATACTGCAGACAGGAGAACATTTTACGAAAGTCAATACAATGGTTTACAAAACTATCATAATTTTCCAAATTTTGGTCTAAGTGATGCTGGCCCATCCAATTTCTATTCCTCTTCCAGGTTTCAGCCGTCTTTTAGCAGCAACTTCCCTGCTTCTCAAAGTAATTGGTCCTCTTATCACTTGCCACCTACCGACTATATGAACGAGTTTGGTATAAATAGTCGATATGTGGGCAGTATCAGAGAATTTGGCAAAATAAAGAATGAGGAAATCCCTCTAAGAAGCTTTAATTCTTCATCATCTTTTCTACCCTTACACCGTGGATTGCCGCAGTGGGAGTCATCATATTTACAAGGGACATTGTCTGATTATAGAAATTTTGAGTATCCTGAATACCAAGAGAGAGGTTATATCCGAACAGAAGAGGAATATCATAGATATCTGAGGATGACACTTGATTGGCAGCTCTGGCTTTCTTGGAACTACAACCGTGCTATCACTGATTTACATGGTACACACTTGCCTGAGCTCTTTGTAGGAATTAAGCTAAATTTATTACTTTTTCACTTGTTTATAAAATATAAAGAAACTTATCTGCAAGTCATTCGCTCTTCTTGCTGGTCTCAATTTGATTTGGAATAGTTTTGGAAAAGAGTAAGAAGTCTAACCAGATTCTTTCTTTTCACAGATTTCAATCCTACATCTCAGCATAATCTTCATCAACCTCTATCACTTGCGCAGACCATGCAACTTCCATATTATGGCCGTCAACTTCAAATACAAGCACCTTACTTTCAGCATTCTCTCGATACCTCAAATCTATTTGGTTTAAACCCTGTTAGTCTAAGTTCAAGTTCCACATTTCCGCACTTGCTATTGAATGCTGAACATATTATCAGGGATTATTGGGAACAAAATGCAGCTCCAAATTTTAGTCATGCAGGTGGAAGGATCTTGCCATTAGAGGTAAATTCTATTGTTGTGACCTGTTGTTTTTTCTTTTTATATTGTTTTCGCCTGTTATATGGTTTGTGGAATGGGCATGTATCATAAAACTATTTGCACAGCATTTGATATTTGAAGTGGCTGGAGTTCTGACACCATTAATCAATAAAATTTGGTAGGATGGTGGCCTGCAAGCTGTCAACAGTGCAAATTTGTGTACATTAATGGATACCAATATTATCCGCTAACATTTAAAACACTCGGAAAGTTAAGCGGTCCTGCAGCTGCCACTACCCAGTAATTATCTTGCAAAGACAGCCAAGTCATTGAGTTTTTTAAGGTTCCAAAAACAAAATCTTTAGTTAATACAAGTTTAAGAGAACTGGGTTTTCATATGGAAAGATAAATACATTCCTGGTTATAGTTAACTACTAGTAGGGACCACTTGCATTTGATTTTATATAGGAAAAGTAGTGCAGAGTGGATGTTACAAGGCAAAAGATAACATCAGAGATACCTATAACAACTAGACTTCTCTTCATCTAGGAAAGATAGAGTCTTCTCTCTCTGAATATAGAGCCTTCTCTCTCTAAATACTTTAATTCTGATATGCTAAAGCTATAATATTTGCTTTCGCTAGTTTCTTTTGTGTTGCCGTGATGAGTTTTATCAAAGAACATATGAATACTTAAGCCCAAGGTGCTAAAGCTAATATAACTAAGTTGATTTTACTGTGCAGGACGCTGAGCTTATGAATGTCCGTGAGCTTCATAGCGTAGAGAATACCATTGACCCTTTTGAAGATATGCGACTGGATACAGACGGAATGGCCTATGAGGTAAAATATGAATCCTGCAATTTTAGCTAGTTTTTGGGTATCCTCGGAAAATGGAGCAAAATTTTGTGGACACCTGTATGATATCTTATGCTTTCACATGCAAATTGCTAAGATTTCGTCATCTCGTCTTTCACTAAAATTTTTCCAATTGCCATAACAGGATCTCTTAGCCCTAGGAGAAGAAATCGGCAACGTCAATACTGGCTTGGAAGAAGAATCTATTACAAAGAATCTAAAAACAAGCCTGTACAATTCACAAACAGAATATCTACCACCAAACCAGTGCATGATATGCCAGGTACTTTGTTTCAGTTCTGGAAGCCAAGCTTTTCGTACCAATTTCTCCAGCTTAGCGTAAATTATCTAGAGTAACAGACTTCCATCTCTTAGTTGTAATGTGGATTCTTAATTTTTCAGGAAGAGTTAAAGGAGAACGAGATCATCGGTATTCTGGATTGTGGCCATAATTACCATGAGAAGTGCATAAAGGAATGGCTGCTAAATAAGAACTTGTGCCCGATCTGCAAAGAGACTGCATTGGCTAGAGATAACAGCGAAGGATGAGGGTATCGCTAATGCTGGTTGAACTTGCGTTATGATTCTGTAAATAACTTTCTCTTGTACTACATACATTCTTTTACCAGTGGTTGTAGAAGTTAGACTTCAAGAACTGTACAGAAATAGAAATGTAGATTTTTGGACTTAAATTTTTTTTTTTTTTTTCACTAGCATGTTAGGTTGTATGTGCCCTGCAAGTAATCGGCTCTTCCAATGAATTTTTCTCTCGTAAAACCGCCTCCATTTTCTGTCTTGATTTCTGCGGTTCAATCATTTCAATTTATTATCTTGATATACTAAAATAAAAGTGTTGACATTCTTCACCTTGATCTTTAAGAATTAAGTTGCTAGTCAAATAACATTTAGGCTCTAGTCCCTAGTTGTCCCCCTCCTGCTTTTTGAACTATTCTGAGTGTCTCCTTGTAACCCAAAACTATTGAATCTTTTTATTTCCTATTTCTTAAACTAATTTTGGTCCCAGGTTTTAGTCCGGGAGATGAACAGAGACGTATCTAATAGTTTATGGGGCAAAATGGTACTACGTATAATTCAGGAGGAGTAACGAATTGAATTGTTTAATGGTCATGTAGATGCCAAAAATAGTTTAGAGGGTAAGAAAATTTAGGAGGTAAAAATTTTCCTTACTGAAGAGAAAAAAATTCTCGCACGCATTGAAATCTTAAGACTGCTACGTATCCAAGAAGGAAGTTGGCTTTAGATCACCATGAAACTGGTGTCATGCAGAGACCTACGCCTTGAATAGCCTGCACAGATTGTTTGATCCAAATCAAGACACCTCAAAGCTACAAGATTTGGATTCATCCATGCCATCTTTCAACTGGAAAACTGGAAGGGGAAAAAAAAAAGAGGAAAAAAAAAAACCAAGAAACCATCTACCAAGAGAAAAAAGCCATCACTCAACAGGCAGCATAACAAGGGCTAGCACAAGTATCAACATTTAGCGAGCAGGACTTTTCAATTACGATATGAAATTAAGCAATACAATGAATGATGAAATCAATAACACTCTCCGGTACAACAAGATGACAATAAATCGACAAATCCCCGCCCAAATTCTTCTACCCAACACAAAGAGTTTTAAGCCTTCTCTCCGCGGTCATCACAAGTCAGATCCGTGAGAGACATGCCTCCCCAAATAAATAGGCTCAGACTCAGCGAGCAGAAGAAATATACCGAGGGATCATACAATCCGTGAGCTGATCGCTTCAGTTTGAGCAGCAACCAGCTTTCTTCACCGCCGATACGTCATCTTTCGAGCCAACATTGATCGTCTGCCCCTTCGGCAGATAGATTTGGGTGAGAACTTCAGTAAAAGCATTCTCTACATTCATCGATTCGAGAGCAGAGGTCTCCATGAAGAAGGTGTTTTCCCTCTCTGCAAACGACTTTGCGTCCTCTGTTGAAACTGCCCGGAGATGGCGCAGATCTGCCTTATTTCCTACGAGCATGATGACAATGTTGGTGTCGGTGTGATCCCTAAGCTCCTTGAGCCATCTCTCGACGTTCTCGAATGTTACATGACGGGTGACATCATATACTAGAAGTGCACCTACTGCTCCACGGTAGTATGCACTTGTAATTGCACGGTATCTGTTGAAAGCGGAACAAAAAGAGAAGATATATATTTTAGAACCTCAAAATCACATATGTCCTAGTTTTCAACATCTCCAACACCTTGGAGCAATGATGAGCAGCATCTAACAGAAAGGCAACAAAAAAGAAATGATACAAGCACATAAGACGAACAGCAAATATATGCTAGCAGATAAAACATTTGGAAGAAAAGATAATTTCATCCAAATCGCTCGAAGTAACACGTCGTCCTATTTTTACCAAAACAAATCATCCTAATAAAATTTTGCAGAAACTGTTGTGAAATATAAACTACTTAATCTTTGCTAATGCTCAACTTTTGGTAGTACAAGTCAACCCTAGTAATTGTCAATGGAGACCAAACTATAATAGCATTCCTTCACATATAGATTCTCCAGAGACAATTGAAAAGTTCAGAGAAGCTTGATTCCGCGACTACAAAATGCAGAATTCTCATACAGAAGAATTGGTAGTCAATAGACTGCAAAATAGAAATATTATGATCTCTCATGGAGAAGGCCAGAAGTATAGCAAGTACGTAAACAAATTAGATTGGACAAGCTCTTCTTTCACCTCAGCAAATCATGAGGAACAGGACTACTGCCAAGAGTTATGTTGAGTTACTGAATGATGATATATACTGAATGTCAAACAGTTGACTATCCAGTCAGAAACAAACCACTATCTGAAGATGGCGAATAGACCAAGAAAGAAAATCTATTTTCCATCCTTGTGAAATAGGAGTTACTTCATACAAACCCATCGCATAACGAGACTAAGTTTTACTCTTGAAAGCTACTTTTAGAACACGAGATGCTTTTGATAGATACCAAATAAGAGTTATACCACTAATAAAGTTTCACATAACCTTTTATAAAGGGGCAAGCTGCACAGGTAAGGGTCAGCAATGGGAGATGAAATAGAAATCATTGATGCATTCATGACTTTCACACGTGAAGATAACATGTACTTCAGAAAAAGACTGGATATTTGGATTCAAGAAGTTTGGTTCATTTATGTTCCCGCAAGCAAATATTTGACTCCTTACTTGAGAAGGAAGAAGGGATTGTCAAGATGAAATGCCTGAGCGAAAGCTTACACTGAGGCTGAGTTTCAACGAACACTGCAACGAGACATGAACAGAGTCAAGGTGTTGAAGGCAGATTTTACAGGGACATCGAAATCACACACAGTTTGATGGTAGAGAGAGCAATGACCCCAGGAGAGGTGAGGTGGCATTAAAAAAAGACCTATAGTTTGTTGCAAGTGAAGACTCGATGATAAAATTTTCTTCAATCTGTTCTAGAGCCTGGAAAACAAGCCAAGTGGAGACTGTTAAGGTAATGCATTGTTTTCAAGTGAATAGAAGAGATGGAACCATAGGATTTATCACCAGTTATGAGTTGATGATTGAAAAGAATTTGATGCGATTACTTGCGGGAAGTTGGAATAGCCATGATTGATGTTAGATATTTACGAATAGATAAAAAGTATATAAACAGTCCAATAATAGAGAAAGGTCAAACTCTAGGATTTGAGAGAAGCAAACTCTTAAAACTTCATTTAAAGATTCAAAAGGACACTGATTGACTCTAAGCAAGTTTAAATCTCTCTTCCATTATTTCTCACATGTTCGTGTGTCGATTTGGCAGAATTACTATTATTGTTAGGGTTCTTTATTTTTGCCTGTGATTGTTTTCTTTACACTTTTCTTTTTGATTCTGTGCTTAATCTTGTTGAATATCATCCAAGTGTAACACCCTGTGACCGCTGAGTCCTTTATGACTTGTACCGTTGTGATTAAGAAGGTGTGATCATATATAAATTTCTTACCCTTCCTATGACATAGCTTCATTGCATAAAGGTTTGAACTTTGAATAGGTTCACTAGGGGGCACGGCGTCCTCTATCATAAATAGGGTGCCTGCCGTATCAATATTTGGACCCGATAATCTTCAAGAACATCCATTTACGATCCACTCGGGACCATTCCACACCAACTACCCTATCCTCTGAATATATCCCGCATCCACTTTATAATTTTCGAAGTATAATCGAAATAAAACACTAACATTTGCACAAGTAGCATAAAATGTGCACCTCCAAACTATACCTTCCTTTGGTAACGTCCAGATCTATTCATAAAGCCAATACCCGCATCATCTTAAAATGCAAGCCTATAAGCGTATCCAGATCAAACCCCCAATGAGCTTGCGTGCATGCTTTACAGTCCAAAAACTAACCCTAAAACTTAAATGCATCCGACATTACATCCAAAATCCGAATATTTCAGCCCGATACGATTCGAATTAGCAGATTACTGGCCAAATATGATCATAATCACAGTTAATAGCCTTCATTCAGACAAAAAACCGAACCAGATCTGAACAAAAACGAACCGGAAAAAGAGAGAGAGAGAGAGAGAGAGAGAGAGAGAGAGAGAAACTGAAACAAATCTAGGGCTCAGATCCGATGAGATCTAGAGAATCCATTACCTCTCTTGGCCGGCCGTGTCCCAAATCTGAGCCTTGACGACCTTATCGTCGACGTGGATGCTCCTCGTGGCGAACTCGACGCCGATGGTGGATTTGGACTCGAGGCTGAACTCATTCCTCGTGAATCGCGACAAGAGGTTCGATTTCCCGACGCCCGAGTCTCCGATCAAGACGACCTTGAAGAGGTAATCGTAATCGTCGTCCGCTCTATACGCCATCGGGCTCCTTTCTCCTTCTTCCTCCTCTTGATCTTGGATCGCCCTCTCTCGTCTAGAGAGAGAAAGAGGATGAGAGAGAGAAAGAGAGAGTTTTTGAAGGCTCGCTGAAAAAAGCGAGGGAACTGAGGAGAGAGAAAGAGAGAGGGAGAGGGGGGGCCTGCTCTTGATCTCGATCCGTTCCGAGAAATCCGAAACGGATCTGGGAGGTACGATGCTCCGCGGGAACAGGATACGATGGGTACGCGGGTCCGCGAAGTGGGGGATCGTTCAGGGAGCGGTGGAGCTCGTTAAGAGGAAGAGGGAGGGCTTCTGCTTGTGACCTTAATTTAGGAGGACAAATTATCAAAACCAACCTCTTTTGCTATTTAATTCCAAAAAAATACCCTTTTTAATAATATTTTTAAAAACCGACATGGTTTCAGCATTGACGCTGAAACCAGATCGGATTTTTAAAACAAACTTTCGAAACTTTACGGGAGTTGAACTCCCGTGAAGTTTCATAGTTTAAAATTTTTTTTAACTATGAAACTTCACGGGAGTTCAACTCCCGTAAAGTTTCGGACTCCTTTTCACAAAAACCGGCCTGGTTTCAGCGTCGAGGCTGAAACCAGATCGGTTTTTATAAATAACTTCAAAATAGGTATTTGACGCTGAAACCAGGTCGGTTTTTGTAAATAACTTCAAAATGGGTATTTTTTAGGATTAAATGTGGGAAAATGTTGGTTTTGAAAATTTGCCTAATTTAGGACCCTCGTAATCGAGAAATTGTTTAATTTTTAAAAATTAAATAAAATATTAAGCAGTATGAGATTTCTGATGCTGATGTCGAGATAAAATAAGACCAAATTGATTCAATTACATCTTAATGGACCGCTTATTACTTGATAACTAGATGTTTATGCGCGTGTGAGATGCAAAAAGAACAGTATAAAATCATGCAAATTTATAATTTTGATGTATTTAGGGGGGTGTTTGTTTCACCAAAAATTTTGGTATTTGGTATGGATTACAAGTTTTTGGATCAAAAAGTGAGTTTTTTTTTTTTTTTTTTGAGATTCCATATATGATGTTTGTTTTAAGAAAATTTTTAGAATATTAAATCCCCAAAGTGTAAAAAATGTCTAATTTTTAGAATATGTCAAATCCTCTCAATTTGAGAGGATTTTGACAAATCTCATTAATGTGTGTGCATAACTCTCAATTGGAAAGGATTTAACAAATCTCAATTTTATTTTTTTGTGGGAGGTAAGCTCACTAAGATAGCATATTCATCATATTATAAAATTTTAGCATATGGTAATGCTACAATTTGAGCTTGAAACAAGCAAAATATTATAAATTGTAGTATTACAAATCCTAAAATATTAATGAAACAAACAACATTTTAAAAATCCTAACTCATAACAAAGCACCTATGGATTTCAAATCTCATGGTGAAATCTATATCCTAAAATTATAGGATTTGAAACAAACATCCCCTTAATGTTTGTCGCACCATTTGCTGACATGTTATCTAAATCTTCAGTTTTCAATTACTCGAGCCATGCGTTTATTAAACCCCCAACCGGATGTTTAAGCATGTATTAAAATATGTGGCTATTTGAAAGGAAGAGTCGCACACAATGCTGCACATAATTTGTTTTGCGTAATTAAAGCAGAGGGTTCATCAGTTACAGAAAGGATGAATAACGAAGTCAATAAATTCTCATATCCCCTCCACGTAACACCAATTTCAAGAGATGCGGAGGATTTCAATCTGAAGTTGGTTTTTGCCACAGGGACACAAAATATGGGGCTAACAGGGAGGACATGTGAGGTGTTCCCCTCCTATTGCATAATGAGCTGATCATCATTAATGATGACCACCTCATTATGTAAAAAAAAGGGGACACCTCACATGTCCTCAATGTTAGCCCTATATTTGGGTCCTTAAGGAATTTTTCAAGTAAAAATCTTTGAATTCTAAAGGGGACAAGGAGTATTATTGAATTTTCTGAGCATCGTCCCATTGTCCCATTTTTCTAGTGATATTAAGCAAGCTTATACAACAGTTTTTCCCCCTCTTGTTAAATGGTTTATTTAATAGTTATTATATCCTTCTATTCTTACCGTGGAAAGCGATTGTTACTTTAATGGACAAATTTTTAAAAACAACCCTTTTCAAAAATTAAAGAGCAAACTCAACCTCCTCCCATAAAAAATGAGCAAAATCGACCTATTGAAATAGAGAGGTTCTTGTCGCCGCTCCCATACTCCGGCGCCCAGCTCTCCCGTTCACGAACCTCATCCCCAGCCCCTCCGTCAGCTCCGACAGCAGCCTCATCCTCCTCTCCTCCTCCGCCTTTACGTTCTGCAGCGCGATCACATCTGCCCCCGCCTCCTTCAACACGTCGAGAACGCTCCTCTCGCTGGACCTCCA